TAACATTATAAAATTATACAAACATTAATGTGGCCTTGGTACTAGAGACTTACTATTATTGGTAATGGACATCATTCTTATGATTGGGGAATTTTTAGCAAAATTCGTTTTGCATATTGGCGGGAAAAATAATCTTGTGAGTTGTGACCTATAGTGTTGCCTGGAACACAGAGTCATTCTAGTAGACGGGGGGCGTCAATGAGCCCTTCTAATAATTTGGTAGTAAAGTTTTATTTTTATTATTATCCAGTGTACACTACATTTTGCAATTTATAATAGCGGTATCCGCCTTTTCCGGTTTTGATTACAATTTTTAATAACATTATCTGTTTTTTCGGTTTTGATTTCAATTTCTAATAGCATTATCCGTTTTTTTCGGTTTTGATTTCAATTTCTAATAGCAATATCCATTTTTTTCAGTTTTGATTAGATTTTCTGATAACGTTTTCCGTTTTTATAGGTTTTGATTTAAATTTACAATAATGAATATATTTTTTATTTGTTTTGATTTCGTTTACTTATACCGTTATCTACTTTTTATGGTATTGATTTTATTTTTCAAAAAGGTTTTCAACTTTTATTCCTTTCTTTTATTATTTATAATACCGTTATCAACATTTTACGGTTTTAATTTCGATTTTGATTTTGTAATGGTTTTAACCGGTATATGAAACCGATTTCAATACCGGTTTCGAGCCCTGGATTAAACATTATCGCACGCCGTCGCGTCGTCTATGCGAATTTTATTTGGCACGGCGGCCGTGAATCCGTCCTGTCTCGTACCGTACGTTGTTTCGATATTATCAACTCGTACTTTTCAATATTTGAACAAGTTTTAAAACAAAATTGTGAGCTCGAATCGCAACTAATATTTTTAGATGTAAATCTACTGCGTTTCTCAGCAATGTGTCTACATTATTGTTCTTTCGATGCTGATCGCCGAAGACTTTCTTTTTTTATTCATTTTATTATTGTGAGCCATAAGTGCAATACTTTATCTTTATTACAATTCATATACCATTGTCATTTTGTACAATTTATATTATTATAGCACAGGACCAGCTGGCCAGTCTGCGATCCATGAATTATGAGTTTTTTTTATTATTATTTATTTATTTTACGTATTACATTATTTGTTAGGCCAAAAGGGCCGTACACATTTTATAATTATTTTACTATCGTGCCAAAAGGGCCGCATATTATTTTTATATTTTATATTATATTATTCTAGACGAGTTTATACTCATACCAGCAATTATTAATCTGTATATTATTATTATATTCTGTTCAGCTATAAGGGCAGCGAATTATAATATTATTATAATTTATCATTGTGAATTATTTAAAGTCGTGTACCTATTATACAGCAAGTTGCCATTGAACCTTGTTACAATTTTTGTATTAATTGTTTAATTGTATACTTACACACCTACATACATACACACATTCATACACAAATACACATAATCCACAACATGCACTACATAGCCGACAGCAATTGCTAGGCGATCTCGACCACTGCTGTTCGAGCTATTACACCATTACACACCCAGCTAGTCCTCCATAATATATTTTTTAGACCTAGGCGTTAGTGGCGTAAAAAAAAGGAGTTTGGTGTCCGGACACGTATATTATTATTATATACTCCGGCCCGTACACAATTATTAATATTTTGAATTTACTACTTAAGGATGTAGATATAAAATAAGAGTTAGTTATTTTTTAAACAAATAAAATTTTTAATAAGATCAATACATTTTTGTGTATTAATGATTATACTAAAACCCCAACATTTATTTTCAAAACCGAAAGCAAAAACAAAAAGTTTTCAATAAGAAAATATAAATAAGTGAATCTCCAACTGAACCAGAATCTAGGTTTTAAAGTAGAATAATAACTTTGTATCAGTGTTAGCTTTCAATGTTCTTATGAAATTACAAAATATATCTTAAAATTTAAAAGTCTTGTAATTAATTGAAAGTGGGTCATTCGTTGTTGAATTATAATATAATTTATTATACGTTAAACACTCTGCATCATGGTGCCAAATATTTGTATTATTTTATGCTTCCCCATTAATCTATACAGTAAAAAATATATACATAAATAAAAACGTGTACCTAAACACACAAACGATGTAGTGACGTTCAAAATTAAAAATATTGATTGTAAAAATAATACTTATTAATGTTGGATAGATATTTTTTGTCAAAATTGACTTTATAGGAACGTTTATATCAAAACCATGGATGTTTGAAGGTACCGCAGATGGTACTCTCCAGACATCCAACGAAACACCCACCTTCGTAAGTAGAAAATTCATTACTCATCAACCCCCATCTCGACCACGAGGCAAGTCCCCTAAGAGGTGACACGGCTGGGTCTAGCACCGAAGCGAAGGACTCCCAAATCATGACCAACCGCGGCAATCGCAGTCAATGCAAAACGCAAATCCACACCTCCAAACAACACCGTAAAGAAAGGACGCTACCAAACATTATCACCACCTTCCATATCGCAAACTATCCCAGGCATCGCACCAATAAGCCAACGCTATTCTCCAACTTCGCCATATGTTGCCGAAGAAACCTTATCAGAAGACTCATTTCGGCCGTCAACCACAGAAGACGATGAAAGCAGTCATCAGTCCTCTACAAACGACCATCAGCCCATACCAAAAAGACTCCCGCCTATATTTCTGACGAAAAAACCTGAGTTCTCATGGCGCACCATAGCCAAAAGTCTTTATGAATCACCCGGACATGAATATGTAGAAGCAAGTACCACCTCTAAAGCTGATTTTCGCTCAGTACAATCTTTTCTCGCATCCATCCAAAATAAAGTAGGGTTCCACACACATGCACTTCCTAGCCAAAACACACTAAAAATAGTCATCAAAGGCATTCCTCTCGATATCACAGATCAAGAAATAATCGATGAACTCAAATCCTACTTGAGATTGCCAACAAACGGAACTTAAGGAAAGACTGGCAGCGCACTAGGGATCCATCAGTCTTGACAATGCTAAACGCCCAAATAGTGTATGTCCGAAACCTCCTCAAAGAACATCGTCAATTAGCATGGGACCGTTTCACATCCACACTAAATTTCCAAGATCGATCACTCTACAAATTAAATCGTCGTCTGCTTCACAATAAGCCAGCTTCCGCCCCGTCGACGACAAACTCCGGTCAAAAAATCTACGACACTGAATCCAAACTGGAACTGTTTGCCGATACAATGAAAGACCAGTTTATCGCCAACCCTGGGAACGAGCTCTTGGAGGTCAGTCGATCAATCAATGAATTCAACAGATACTCCGCAAAGTCAAACCTATTCACTACCCCTAAGGAAGTATTCGAAATTATTAAAAATCTACCATCCGCCAAAGCCCCTGGACACGACAACATTACAAACGCTGCACTAAAGCACCTTCCAGCCTCTGCCATCGTAAGACTAAGCATCTTACACACAGCTTGTCTCGGACACTCCTATTTTCCGACCTCCTGGAAAACTGCCACGATCGTCATGTATCCGAAGCCTAACAAAAACCACAGCCTACTGATAGACGACATGGTTATAATACCAACAATAGCAGACACACGGCTGCCATATTATTGGACATGGAGAAGGCGTTCGATAGAGTGTGGGACGACGGATCAACAGTTTTCATGCCTTTCTCCCCTATTATACATTCAATACGTCAACGAAATCCCACCTCACCTCATGTTACTACTTCATTGTTTGCCGATGACACCATGTTCAACTCTAGTAACACGTCGAAAAACTTCGCAATAACCCGTCTACAACGCCAAGTCACCACGTCAACCGACTGGATCCAAAAATGGCTTTTAAAACTGAACACTCAAAAAACAGTATGCATACTTTTTGGAACCAGCCGAAAAGCACCCGCTCGAAAAATCCAAATAATTGGCCAAACAATCGACTGGAAAAATAAAACCACCTATCTCGGCGTCACACTAGACAAAGCCCTGCGCCTAAATGAACACGTCAAGGTGTGCATCAGGAAGGCTAAGCAAGTCAGAAGGGCACTTTAACCGATAGTTAACAGTAGATCACCCATCCCACTGCCAACAAGACTCTCAATTTTCAAATTATACATTAAACCAATCTTACTATATGCCTTTTCGGCATGGGGTCCTCTCATCAGTGCATCAAACTGGGCAAATATAGAGGCAGTTCAAAACGTGGCGACCAGGACTATCACAGGTGCCCACTTTCTCAACAGAAATAACACGATATTAAACCCATCAACTCCTTACGGAATGAAGCAGAACTAGCGGCTAGGGTATTTCATCACAGAAATGCCCAATCAACATTCGCCCACATCCGCGACATTGAAACATCAACCACTCCACAAATACATACACGCCGACCAAGACCAATCATTTTTGAGAAATAAAAATCTACTCCACATCCTGACAATCAGCCATGGAAATTCAAATATAAGTTATAGGCACCGCCTGACACGTACTAATTCGTCAGACGATTTTCATCATATAATCAGTTAAATTGTCATGGTCCAGTCGTCAATGCAGTTTATCTCTCCTCAAAGCACGATTTAAGATAGTATGGTTGCCCAACGAGGTATGATAAGACGGCATTGGATTTAAATCGGACCCCCGTTGCTAGCGCTTCTAGTGGACTATTTTATAATTGATAATATAATATGATAATTATATATATTTTTATTGTATATAGGTATAACATAACAATTTTTATAAGTTTTGATTTTAACCAATATGAGCACTGCATGTGGGGGACCCCGTAAATCACGTGACTTTTCGATTCAAACAGTATGCCGTGTGATGACATTTTTCTAATGGGTCGATGGGCAACCATACTATCTTAAATCGTGCCTCGAAGTGACGTTCAGTGTTGAACACGAATTTTGCTTCTGCTTGAATGAGCAACTCGTTTAGTCATCATATTCATTCGTAAGTACCTTATTTACACACACCGCCGGGTCGCGTCTGTGCATGACAAGAGTAAAGAAACTCGTTCCTCGCCGTGGTTCCGACCCAAATCTTCTTCCCCCTCAAAAGGTTACAATCAAAAGACCAACTTCATCGACTTCTTCACTTCAATCGTCAACCAAAAAAGAAAAACAACAAGATATTGAATCTCTTTCTTCTTCAGATTCCGAATCAATGTCGTCCATTTCAGAAGTAACCCTAACTGACCAAATATCAGGTCAACCTGATTTAGACTCACCCTCACTCACCGTTGTCAAACCTTTATCAGGATCTCTACCAACTAACATCCGTTCTTCCTCTTCGGGAAAATCAATCTCCAACCACTCATCGCCTACTCCCCCTCAAGACCTTCCATCTGTCTAATAAAAGATCAAACCTCCACCACCACTAATCACTTCTACCTCAGCATGGAGGAAAGCAGCGACCAAACTTATGAAAGCAGTTCCTATCGACTCGATAACAGTCAAAGCTTTCCGGAATGACTCAGTCAAAACCCAATGTACTGACTCTGAAATGTTCAGGATTGTCCAAAAATATTTTAAGAACACTCAAACTGAATTTTTCATGTTTCCAAGTCCCGAAGAAAAAACACTCAAAGTCGTAATCAGCGGCTTGCCTACCGATATATCTGACATTGAACTCACCGAAGAACTTGTATCCAAAGGATACGAAATCACTGCAGTCCGCCAATTTGTTAAAGCCCGCAAAAAATTGCCCCTTCATATGGTATCCTACCAAATAACCCTGCCAGCAAGTCAATATTTAGGGAATCTTCATTCTTTTATATCTCAGTTAAGGTAGGAGCCTACAAAGCGAAAAACCCAGTCCAGTGCTTTAAATGCCAACGATTTGGTCATTCCAGCATCTACTGTGGGTTCTCCTCAAGATGCGTGAAATGTACTGGATCCCATCTGGCTAAAGACTGCCCCAAGACTCTAGAACAGACTCCCAAATGCATTAATTGTGAAGGCTTTCACACAGCCAACTACAAACAATGTCCAGAATTCTTAAAGACTAAAGCCGCAAAGCAAGCATCTCTACCCACGTTCAATCAACTACTCGTTCAACCAACTCTTCGTCAACCTCCAGCAACCATCACTACTCCATCTAATGAAGATGCTCTAATCCGCCCTGTCATACGCAACTGTAGTTGGCCCTAAGCCTTCAAAATGATTAAGCCAGTCTGTCAATCCAAAAGCCATCCAATTACTCACCAATCTGCTCTCAGATCTCACATCAGAGAAGTTCTCATCTCTACTCTAATTGCTCTTATCCCCCTTCTCCTATCACACAATGTCTGACACAAGAATTATATTTTGGAACTGTCAAGGCGTTGCTCGGAAACGCCTTGAACTTCTCGGCCTAGTCCAGAGGAAAAAGGTTGACATTATTCTTTTAAATGAAACTTGCCTTGCTTCAAATCGCCAATTTAATCTCCCAAATGTCTTTTCTTACTCAACCAATAGACCACTAGTGAATAGCCACCCTCCAGCCGGAGGGACTGCTGTCCTAGTTAACAAGAAATGTATTCATCACAATGTCAAAATCATCACAACATCCATCAACAATACAGCAATCGTAATCAAAACCAATGACTCGGAACTTACTCTTGTCTCTGAGTACAAAAGACCAGGCACCCAACTTATAACTACAGACTT